TTGAATTAAGATTTTGTGGGTTTAGCTTTGCTGAAACTTTGAGTAATGAAGATTAAAACCAGGATCTTGCAAGATAAATATAGCATTTTTTTTGGTTGTTTTTTTTTTTTGAACTAATTTTTTCTTTAGATCTAGCTTCGCCGCAACAATGAGTAAATCACTTCGTATTATCATTGGAGCCTTCACGAGTACAATTTCATCGCCTCAGTGTTATATTTTTTGGAACTTTTTACTAGCATGATTTCATTACTTCAGTATCATCATATTTGGAGCTTTGCTATGTAATTTCGTCACTTCGATATCATCGTATTTGGAGCTTCGCTGGTGTGATCTTGTCGTTTCGGTGTCGTCATATTGAAGCTTTGCTGGTATAATCCCATAGCTTTGGTATCGTCATATTTGGAGCTTTACTGGTGTGATTTCATCACTTCGGTATCGTAGTTTTAAGTTTTTTTTCATAATTTTTTTTTATTCTTTTATTAATGTTTTCTTTCTTTTGCAGGTTTATGCTTCACTGGTGGTTTTTTATTCTTGGAGAATCCTCTTGTAGACTTTTGGCATTTTCTCTTTGAAGAACACTCTTGTGGACTTTCAGCTTGTTTGAAAATTCTCTTGTAGAATTTCAGCGTTATTTGAAGAATTCTCTTGTAGACTTTTGGTGTTTTTTTTTAGAGAACTTATAGGCTTTTGGCATTGTTTGGAGAATTCTCTTGTGGACCCAGTTGATAAGTACTAGTTCTTTTAGCTTGTTTGTGTTTTTTTTTCTATTATTTTACTAACTTTTTTTTTGTTACTTGAAAGTGTGAAAAGGCAATTAACGGAATTGGAGTTGAAAGAACGAGAATAAGACATTCAAAAATCAGCAGTGATGGGGGTGTACTCGTAGAATACTTGCAATTGGCAACGGAATTGAGGCTGAAAAGATGAAAATAAGGCATTCATTTATCAAGAATCAATAATTGATGACTGGAATTAGAGTTGAAAAGATGAAAATAAGGTACTCATTTATCAAAAATCAGCGATTGGCGACTGGGAATTGGAGTTGACGAAGATGAGAATAAGGCATTCATTTATTATCGAGAATCGGCTAAAAAATTATCGAAAATCGGTGATTGGAATTGGAGTTGAAAAGATGAAAATAAAGCATTTATTTATTATTAAGAATTGGCAATTGGCGACTGGAATTAGAGTCGAAGAGGATGGGTTGGGATTAGTATATATTATGCATTAGCGTTAGGTTGAAAAATAATATATATTTTATGTAATATAAAAAAATAAATATATGAATATAATCCAGGCATATCGATATATGTGTAATTATTTATTATGTAATATTAAGAATTGCATGTCACTAAAAATTTTCGCAGATTTGCAAAAATTTTTTCTTTAATGGCCACGCAGATTTATGCAGATTTTTAATAATTGTTTTTTTAAAAAATCTGTGTAGATCTGTGCTATAAAATTTTCCCGATGCTAGTGTCGAAGGGGTTTCCAACTCAAAGATTAAGCATGCTATATTACGTTGACCACCAAAGGGTCAAGTCGGGTAAGTATCTCAATTCAAATATATGGTCTTTTATACATGTTAGCTACTTAGAATCTTCTGATACATTCACCAGGTTAACTTCATTTGCCTTCACAATAATAGGAGAAACTGCTAATGTTACACCAAGGAGGGATTATATCCATCACACTTGAAGTTACATATAAATAATTTCAGTTTAACTGATCACTCGTGTGAACGATAAGGTGAGGGGATTATATCCATAACATACATTTTAGAGTAAACACAAAACAAATAATTTTATTATTGATTAACTATATCATGTGAAGGATTAATGTATAATATTGACAGTTCCTCCTGTTCTTCACAATGACTTATTTCTCTTCAGCACCAAGTAAACTTCCCCTTGTGTCTACATTTACTTTAAGACCTTTCACCCAGAACATTAATCTCCGAATCTTCTTTACTAACTCTTTATCAAGCTAGCAGAGGGATGGATGGTAAGTAATACAAAGATAAAGTGGGAGTTTAGTTGATAATTATAGGATAAAGGCAAAAATAAGGGAAATGTTGATCATAAGAAGATATTGAGGCACAGAAAAGTTATGATAGTACCAATGTCCAAATCTACAGATGATTCTTCATATTTGTATATCATGTCTTGAGCCGTTTGGCATTAGTATAAACTTTATTTTATTTATACTATATGGTTTATTAAACGCTAAATCAATTTAGTCTGCAATAAAATTAAAATCATAATTTACAAGAGATTTACAATATAGGTTTTGTCTTTTTCTAATGTCCAGATATCATCTGGTCCGATTTCTATCGATTTATTCAAATTTGCAAATGAATTTATATAGTTATATTAATATATAGTGATTGTAAAAGCCTTAAAGAGATTCTTTATTATGTAATAGATTGCTTCACGATTATTTAATGACACATTATTCGGTATATATGCAGATATTGTTATATGTAGTTATGCAATAAATTGAATAAACCATTTGCCCTACTTATTGTTCTATTCTTTTGTTATTTCTATGATTGCAAATTATATTTCTGTCTGGTTCTAGGACTTTAATCTCATATATTATCATATTCAATCATTTCATCTTTATAATATGTGTCTTCCTCATTTTTGTCCATGTCTCCTTCTTTATATCTATCTTCACCCAGGCTAGCTTCATTGTCATCGGCACTATTACCATCATCATTATCACTATCGTCATAATTGCTGTTGTAATTACCACCATCGTCATCGTTAGCATTATCGCCATCATCATCATTATCACCATTATTATGATTACTACCATTATCGTTTAATGTTAAGTCAACAACACTTTTATTATCACTTGCGCTGTCCGTACAAATATGTATGTAGTTACTACGCTTATGAACCTCCGGATTCTTTGCCCACTCATAGTCAAACATCATATCTTGTTCAGATCTGTCTTGAGCAATAGAGATGCCACAACACTTGAAAGACCGTCTAATATAGGCAGAATCAACTTGGTCCCATGCAATTTTTACCCATCTAGTCACTACATTATAAGCGTGTCATTGGATATGACCTGTAGGCATTAATTTCTTTATTTCTTCACCCATTCAGTCAAGGTAGCACTTGCGATACTTAAATAAGTTATTGGATTTATAAATAATAATTGTAAAATATATATGTTAAAAAAAATATATTTCAGATTTTTAAATTATAATTTACGAGATTCTGTCTGATTTTTTTAGAAACTATGTTTGGTAAATTATAAATTTAAAGGCTCAAAGCTTATTGACAATATCTATATATATTAGTTTACCTTATCTTTAAAAGATTTATTAAGATATACATCTAATGGTTGTAATTTTTTCGTAAGTCCACTCGGAATAACTGCAATATCAGTATTTTTTTTATTAAACCAGATTTTAACTGGATCTGTAATATGACCACAGAATGAATCTAAAACCAGTAACGAACGAGGATTAATAGACAAAGAAGCATGATGATTCCAAATTTTTTCAATCCAAAAAACCATTTCATTAGAATTCATATATTCCTCCTTATTAGCTCGTACAATTATGCCTGGTGGAAATATTTATCGTAGTACATTTACTTATTTAAATATTATCATAGAAGGCAATTTGGTTCCATCAGCCAAACAACTTAAAACAATAGTAAAATTAGATTTTTCATAACCAGTTGTACGGATTCTAACAGTATGAGCACCAGTTTCTTCAACTGTAAAATTATTAGGTACATCAAATGTCAAAGGTGTCTTATCCATGTTTCCAATAAGTATAAGAGAGTAGTTGTAACACATGCGATGAAACAATATGTAACTTAAAAATTCATCTTTTTTAAATTCTAACTTTTCTGGTAACCTTTGTGCAACAGTAGTACAGCGCCTATTACTTAGTTTATTGCGACGCATGAAACATTTGATCCATTTGTTACTCCATTTGCATTCATTAATTCTTGAGTAAACTGAGATAAAACAAGATTGTTTGGCAAGTTGTTTGGCTTTAGTTCTAATCATATGCAAAGTTACAGCTTTTTGTTTTAAGCATAAAGATTTAATCCAAGATATAAGATCAGATTCTAAAAGTGGATATGTTGGGCATGCACCAATATTTAGATGTCTAATATAAGGTGGAGCATTTTTTGTTCTTTTTTTTTCTTGATCCATTCACACAATTGTTTTGGACTTATGTCAAACTGCTCTGCAGTGTTCCATTTACTAGCTGCGGGATTTTTTTCTAGATATGTAACAATCGCCAACTTCTCACGAATGTTCCAGCTTCTTTTTTTTTTTTTAGTTATTTTTGCGTTCTTTAAAATTGTTCTATTATGTTTCATTTCGTACTCTGTTCTATTTATGTATTAATATATAATATCTTTATATAAACTTAAAACAAAATAAATTTTTGATTATTATCTCTTGGCTTAAAACTTATTTTTACCATGATAAAAATGTAAGTCACAATGATTTTTTTGAACAATTTTAATATATAATAAACTGATTTGCACATGTTAGTTGTATTAATAAGTCAATTATACTAATGTTAATAATATCTATAATGCTTCCCACCAATATGTAAACCAGTATATCAAATTAATGTAATTGATTCAAGTTTTAATCACCGTAGTAATATGCTAGAAAAGCTGTGAGATGCAAAATATTTTTTTAAATCTCAACAAGCTATTTTATAATTTTTTTTTTTTTTTATTGTATTTATTAGTTTAATAGTTTTTAGTTTGCTTCTAAAGTTTATTAGTTCACTTTTAATTGTTTATTATATTTGCAAGAAAGTTTAAAGTTTAATTGTTCTTATTCATTAAGTTGTCAATACTAATTACTAGGTTTTTTTTTTTTAGTTTATGATTATTTCTCTGTTATCGAACTTCTGGTCTCTTATTAATTTTTTCTTTGCTATCATTGTGAATTATTGTAATTTCCTCGCTAAATATATTATTAAACTTGCGTTTGCCTCAAATAATTTATAATATGTAGTGCCGTCTCAACCATAACTTGGGTGAGTTAAATAAATATCTAAATACTGTTAACCTACAAAAACGACTATAACTCTTGAACCACTGGACAGAATTCGATGAAACCACCACCATTCGAATCAGCT